AAACTCTACTGCAAAAAAAAAAAAAAAAACACAATAACAAAAATTAGCCAGGTGTGGTGGCGCGTGCCTGTAGTCCCAGCTACTGGGGAGGCTGAGACATAAGAATTGCTTGAACCCAGAAGGTGGAAGTTGCAATGAGTCGAGATAGCGCCACTGCACTCCAGCCTGGGTAATAGAGTGAGACTGTCTCACAAAAATAACAACTTAAAAATTAAAAAAAGAGTGTCAGGGATGGGAGCTTACTAATTTATGTAGGGTGGTCAGGAAAGTCTCAGAGACCTGAAGAAATGGAGGAAACAAGACATGCAGCTATCTGGGGAAAGCAAGTTCTACGCAGGGAGAAAAATAATGGGAAAGCCCTGCACCTGGAACTGGCCTGCTGCAAGACAAAAGTAGCAAGGCCTGTGCGACTGGAGTGGGATGGCCCAGGAGGAGAGAGGGACACGAGGCCCCTGGGGCCCCAGGAAGGTCCCATGCTAACTTCTGCAACAGACTGAACAGACTGGCGGTGGGTAGGAGCGGGTGATGTATCATTGAAGAGGCAAAATGGGGCCGGGCATAGTAGCTCATCCCTGTAATCCTAGCACTTTGGGAGGCCAAGGCGGGAGGACTGATTGAGCCCAGGAGTTGGAGATCAGCCTGAGCAACATGCTGAACCCTGTCTCTACAAAAAAATATAGAAATTATTTTTCTATATTTCATATCATGGTGATGTGTGCCTTTTTTTTTTTTTTTTTAAGGCGGAGTTTCACTCTTGTTTGCCCAGGCTGGAGTGCTAGAGTGCAATGGCACGATCACGGCTCACCACAACCTCCGCCTCCCAGGTTCAAGCGATTCTCCTGCCTCAGCCTCCCTAGTAGCTGGGATTATAGGCATGTGCCACCACACCCGGCCAATTTTGTATTTTTTAGTGGAGACAGGGTTTCTCCATGTTGGTCAGGCTGGTCTCGAACTCCCAACCTCAGGTGATCCGCCCGCCTCCGCCTCCCAAAGTGCTGGGATTACAGGCGTTAGCCACCGCGCCCGGCTATGTGTGCCTCTGTCTAAAAAAAAAATAAAACAAAAAGAGGCAAATGTAAAAATCTGATAAAAGGATGTTTGGCTGAGAGTGGTAGTGCTGGAAGTGGGGAGAGATGCTAATAGTCTGGACAAATTTCTTTGGATTATTTTGAAAAATGTAACCACAACACCATTATCACAGCTCAAAAGAATGAACAACAATCATTTAATATTATCAAATATCTAGTCAATATACAAATGTCCCAAACTGTCTCAGGATTTTTTTTTTTTTTAAGTTTGTTAGAATTGTCAAAGATAAACAAAGCCAGGCCGGGCACAGCTTCTCATGCCTGTAATCCTAGTGCTTTGGGAGGTTGAGGGAGGATAATCACTTGAGGCCTGGAGTTTGAGATCAGCCTGGGCAACATAGTGAGACCCCTCTACCAAAAAATTTAAAAAATTACCCGGACATGGTGGTGTGTGCCTGTAGTCCCCGCTACTCAGGAGGCTGAGGTGAGAGGATCACTTTAACTCGGGAGGTCGAGGCGGCAGTGAGCAATAACCACAACTGCATTGCAGACGGTGTGCTAGAGTCTGACTACATCTCTAAAAAATTAAAAATTAAAAAGCCAGACACCAGTTAAAGCAGTGAAGACAGATTTTATTTAGTAACTACTAACAGTAGGGGAACAGCTGAGTT